AATTCAACAGCAATATTTTCAAAACATTCTAAAAATAATTCATATTCTTGAATGGACACATCCGGAGGAATATATATCACAAAAATAAATAAAGAACTACGTCCACAACATAACTTACAAGCAACTATATCAATAAGATGAAAAGCGTCGAAAACTGATAAATCAACACTCGACACAGGAAATTTGTCACTAACTGCTAAGACCACCCCTCCACCTCTTTGCCGATTACTACATGTAAAATTACGATCGGCACGAAACAAACAATAACTAGATGGCATAAATTCACAATTACTGATTGATGAGTCAAGCCATGACTCAGTTAAACAAATGACATCATAATCCGAAACATTTAAACAAAAAAATACCTCATTAACTCTCGACCTAATGCTGCGAACATTTTGGTAATAAATAGGTAGATAATCATTACCACAACTGTTGGGCCGGTTTAGTTCAAAGTAACATTCGTCGCTCTCTTCATGATGGAGTTTCTTCAAATTAACTCCGTCCCTGCATTTTTTCCTAAAAAATTCTTCTTTGGAAAATTAAACCGTCTTACACACACACCTTGTGGCCAAAAATCTTCACGTAATAAATTGTCCTTCAGACTAAAGTTTACACCAACTTTAAAGGCATCATATGTTCCCTGCAGCTTAAGATTTTCGACTATGACCTCATCAGTGGACAACTTTTTGGTTATATAAGCTTTGACACTACTAGTCTCAATGTTTTTAACAACTTTTCCGACGTAGAACCATGCTCTTTTAACGTAAGTAGAACGAAATTCACCATCATCTTCTTGCTTCGAAGTTCCAGTTATAGTGGGTACTTGTTTTCTACGATTGCTTCGATTTCTTCTTAGTTCCATCCACGGATTTTCCACTTTGTCATGAAAATTTATTTCGTCGTCCCTACTCACACGAAATTCATCTGTTTGTTTATTGGTAACAGTAGTTGACTCCTTTTTTTGAATTTTCTTTCCACGATTTCTTGCGCTGTTCTTGTTATCGTTATCGGTGCTTCTCTCACCTTCAGTGAAAGGTTTATTCAAGTTCACATCAACTTTATCACGAAAATTCGGAAAATGTAATGACTGACTTGGCTTATCAATTGATTGTGTAACGACTGACGACCATTTAGGAACTGTAGATTTTATTTCTTGAGAAGAAAAGAGCTTTGGAGCAAGACTGGGGTTACTTTGTGTCATTAATTTAATCAAGTCCACATTAGTTTCTTTTAAATCTCGAACTTCCATACGCAACAACTCAATTTCATGCATTAAGGGCCGAGTTACCTTTTGGATGATCTTTTCAATATCTTCATGGGAAAATTCAAATATTTGCGACTTGTTACTTGCATTATCCACACTTTCACCATTATCGCAACAGATTATTTGCGCATCACCTAGGTACTGCACATTTTTTAATAATTTCACACAGCTGGGATGACTGAGCGAATTGCACTTAACACATTTAAGCCCTGTCACGGGTATAATTTTACATTTCTTACACGCATCCCCAGAGGGATTGTTGGAAACGTCCGCACTCTCCGGACGCATAGCGCAGAGTGCGGACGAAAAGGACGAAAAGGACGAAAAGGACGAAAAAGTACGAAAAAGGACGAAAAAACGATAATGTACGAATAAGCACGAAAAAGGACGAAAAGGACGAGAAGGACGAAAAAGGACGGAAAGGACGAAACAGGACGAAAAAGGACGGAAAGGACGAAAAGGACAAAAAAAGGACGAAAAAGGACGACAAAGACGAAAACGGACGAAAAGGACGAAAAGGACGATAGCGGACGATAAAGAACGAAAAAGAACGTGATGTTTCAATGATGTTGGAAAGAATTTTAAATGTAATTACAGTTTATTTGCTGACGACTTGAAATTTTTTTTTAATATTAATAGTAACAGTGACTGTGAATTAATGCAAGCAGATCTTAACAGTTTATATCGTTGGTGTGTTGAGAATAGCATGAATTTAAACTTGGAAAATTGTTACAGTATATGCTTTACTCGGAAAAAAAATAAATCGATTCCTCGTTACTTAATTAACAATACTGTTTTAAAATCTGTGCCCTGTGTTAAGGATCTCGGTATATTTCTTGATAGTCAGCTGAATTTCTCTTTTCATATTGATCATGTTATTAACAAAGCAAGTAAGGTACTGGGATGCATCAAAAGGTATTCAAGAGACTTCCTTGATTTTACAACTATTGTTCATTTATATAAAACTTTAGTCGTACCCATTATTGACTATGGATGTATAATTTGGGCTCCACATTACAAAACTCACCTGGAGCGTATTGATTCGATATTAAAAAATTTTTTACATTTTGTCAAGTTTAGATTACCTTCAAATATAAATTGCTCTCTAGAGCTTATGCTGTCTTACCTTCATTTGTCTACCTTTTGTACTAGGAAAACTTATTTTAGTATTTGCTTCATTTATAAACTGCTTAATAACCTTATTGATGTGCCTGATCTACTTAACATGATCAAATTTAGAGTGCCCCAACATCTGACTAGGATTAAGTCTCTATTTTATATTGATTTTGCCGCAACTAATTATGTTAAAGCTTCACCTTTACATGAAATTTTGAATGTTTCTAACTTATATTACACTGAAATTGATTTCTTTTGTTATGCTTCATTTAACTCTTTTAAACATAAATTACGAATTCTTCTTATGTAGGTAATTATAGGTGTGTGTATTTTTTACTCTATGTATCCTCCGTCTTTGTAAATCCATGTACTTAAAGCTATTTTGGCGTTGAAATAAAGTATTATTATTAATAAGAACGAAAAGAACCAAAAAGTACGAAAAAGGAGGAAGAGTATGAAAAGGGCGAAAAGGACGGAAAAGAACGAAGAAGACGAAAAAGGACGAAAAAGGTCGAAAAGGACGAAAAGGACCAAAAAGTACGAAAAGGACGAAAAAGGACTGTAAAGATAAAAAGGGACGAAAAGGACGAAAAAGGACGAAGATTACAAAAAAGACGAACAAGTACGAAAAGGACGAAAAAGCACGAAAAGGGATGAAAAGGACGAAAAAGGACGAAAAAGGACGAAAAAGGATGAAAAAGGACGATAAAGAACGAAATATTACGAAAAACCAGGCAAAAGATCCAAAAGGATGAAAGAGGCGATAACGGACGAAAGAGGACGAAAAACCACGGAAAAGGACGAAAAGGACGAAAAAGGACGAATCAGGACGAAAAAGGACGAATCAGGACGAAAAGAACTCAAAAGGACGAAAAAGGGCGAAAGAGGGCGAAATGGACGAAAAAGAACGATTAAGTACAAAAGGGGTCGAAAAGGACGAAAAAGGACGGAAAGGAAGGTTAAGGACGAAAAAGGACGAAAAAGGACAACAGGACGAAAAAGGACGATACAGAACGAAAAAAAACGAAAAATACAAAAAAGACGAAAACGACGAAAAAGACGATTGAGGAAGAAAAAGGACGAACAAGAACGAAAAAGACGAATAAGGACGAAAAAGGACGAAAAATACAAAAAAGACGAAAAAGTACGGAAAGGACGAAAAGAGGACGAAAAAGGACGAGAAAGGACGAAGAGGACGAAAAAGACGATTGAGGAAGAAAAAGGACGATAAGGGCGAAAAAGACGAAAAAGGACGAAAAGGACGAAAAAGTGCGAAAATGGACGACAAAAGGACGAAAAGGACGAAAAATAACGACATGGACGAAAAAGGACGAACAAGAACGAAAAGGACGAAGAACGGTGGACGAATTTTCAGTTTTGCAATTTTTCGATTTCTCAAATTTAAAGCGAACGACCAAAGACTAAGGACTAAAGATGAAGGACAAAGGACGAAGTACTAAGGATAAAGGACGAAGGATTAGGGACGAAGGACGAACGACTAAGGACAAAAAACGGCGAAAAGGACGAAAAGAACGAAAAACGGCGAAAAGGATGAAAAGACGAAGGACGAAAAGGACGAAAAAGGACGGGAAAGGACGAGAAGAACGAATAAGTACGAAAAAGGACGAAAAAGGACGAAGAACGAAGGACGAATTTTTCAGTTTTACAATTTTTCAATTTCTCAAATTTAAAACGAACGACCAAGGAATAAGGACTAAAGACGAAGGGCAAAGGACGAAGTACTAAGGACTAAGGACGAAGGATTAGGGACGAAGGATAAAGAACGAACGACTAAGGACGAAGGACTAAAGACGAAGGACAAAGAACGAAAAGGAATGAATTCTTGGTTTGATTTATGTCTTTGTAAATGTATTTTCTTTTGTTTTGTTTTTTATACTGACGATTTCCATACAAATGTATTTGTCTCTTTGGAAATAAATTATTACTTACTTTCTTGCTAGGACGGAAAGGACAAAAAATACGAAAAATACGAAAAGGAAGAAAAGAACGAAAAGGAATAAAAGGACGAAAAACGGCGAAAACGGCGAAAAGGACGAACAAGACGAAAATGACGAAAAGGACGAAACAGGACGAAGAAGGACGAAAAGACGAAAAAGGGCGAAAAGGATGAAAAATACGGAAAGGAAGAAAAAGACGAAAAGGGGCGAAGGACGAAAAACGAACGACTAAGGACGAAGAATTAACGACGAAGGACAAAGAACGGAAAGGACGGAAAGGACGAAAAATACGAAAAGGACGAAAACGATGAAAATTACGAAAAGGAAGAAAAGGACGAAAAGGGACGGAAAGGACGAAAAGGACGAAATTAACGAAAAAGACGAAAAAGATAAAAAGGACGAAAGGGACGAATAGGACGAAAAAGGATGACAAGGACGAAAAAGGACGAAAAGGACGAAAAGGACGAAACGGACGAAAAAGGACAAAAAAGGACGAGAAGGCCGAAAAAGGACGAAAAGGACGAAAAAGGACGAAATGTTTTGCCCTAAATGCAACATAACCGTGAACACCAATTGCAACGGGAACTTCAACGTTCGTGTTAACTGGGTTAAGCTCATCACATCTTCGTTATCTTGGGTCAGTAGGTACACTGATAAGACTGAGTCTCTGAATTGTATCCAGTTCGACAAACTTAGTGTAATATAATGGATCTGTTAAGACTCGGTAAGTTCGGAGTATAACTAACCTTCAATTTCTTAATTGTTCTTTATCTAGCAATACTCTTTACGCTACACTTATGTTTGACAAATGCTTGCCAGACTCGGTACAACAGAAAAAGTCCAGGTTAGTCAAATGAAGTTACTTCGAACTTTGTAATTAAAACCCTCACGAATAAACAGTACTGGAACTGAGACCTTTGCCAGCACAAAGTGGAAGTACGTTAATATGGTTAAAAACTTCGGTTCAAGAATCTATACGATATTGGCAAAACGAGCTGGATAATTTTTTGAAACGTAAGTAACACTGACTTGTTAATTTAGTCCCGTTTTTTTAAATATATATTTAGCCTACATTAACAGGGACGTTTCCGAAAACATGGAAACTTGTAATCGGGAAATGCCACCATCTAAAGATAAATTCTGCGAAGTAAACATAGGTTCCGATTTTGGTCCATGTACACCAAAACACGGCTACGGATACCACAAAGGAACGCCTTGCATTTTTCTCAGACTTAATGAAGTAAGAAAATCCTCATAATTTCATCACCAAAAAAAAAAAAATATTACGATTTGTAGATACCAAAAGGGTGGACACCACAGTTTTACAATTCTTCGGTCACGCCGAAAGAAATCCCGGAATATTTAAAAACCCATATCAAGCACAACGAAGTCTTGGGAAGAGTAATATTATTTAATACCTAGTTATTGTTTGCTAAGTGATGTCAATTCTAGTACCAAACGGTGTGGGTTTCTTGCGATGGGGTGAATGCAGCGGATAAAGAAAATATTGGGCCAGTGAGTTTTTATCCAGAAATGGGGTTTCCTGCCAATTACTTACTTAATAGTAACGTTAGGGGTTATCGAGCACCACTGGTGGCTGTATTTTTCGAAAAACCACAACGTAGGTCCCATTCACAAGTCAATTTTCAAAACTTCTTTGTTTTAATTGCAGGTGGAATAGTGATCAATATCGTGTGTAGTGTGTGGGCTGCCAATATTCCGCGTGACTTGGACCAGAAAATCGGAAGTGTCCAGTTTGTTCTTTTGGTAGATTAATTACAAAATTTGAAAACTGTCATTCCTAAAAAATAAAATTTTGTACACAAACAGTGTTGTACTAATTTGGTTCCTCTCACAAACTTGCTATCAATGACCCACGGGGTTATCTGTTTCATAACTAGATTGAAAAATAATGTTTGTTACACAGTGCGTGAAGAAGAAAACAGCATGACTATTCTAAGACTAGGTAAGGGTTTAAATACATTTAAAAACTACAGCTTATCTATCTATTCTAGCAAAACTCTTGTTGTTCTACATAATTTTCTACGCTTGTCTGGCGGCTTTTGCTGCTTTGATGTTCAAAATCTTCTTAAACACGCTGGATAGCAACAAACCTAAATGGACACTCGATGAATCTTTGATAGGAACGAATCCAGGTAGGTGGTCAGTGTTGGGGACAGATACTTTTAAAAGTATCTAGATACAGATTGTTTTTCGATTTTTTCGAAATGTATCTAGATACAGATACAAGAAAACAGATACTTTTTGAAGCTTTGGCGAATAAAATAACTGAAAACATGTTTATGTATTTTTTTATGTATTGTTTAATGAATTTTTTAAAATTAGCAACATTTCGAACGTATTGTCACCTAAATTATTTTTTCTTGGTGTCAGAAGAAGGGATTGTGGTATTAAATTTAAAAAATAAACATTTTACTGTAGCATAGTTATTCAAGACTGAAAAATAGTTTCTTTTTTCCTGCAAATACTTAGGCCATCGCTTCGCTGTTTGATGTGTCACAAATTGTGCAATATTTATTACGTACGCTTAAAAAGAATTTTTTTTTTTGTTTTTATATCCATACTAAAGTATCCAAATTGTGTTTGAGTATATCTAATAATTATCTCCAGTATTAAAATTAATATTTCAAAAGAATACGGGAAATGATTATTCTGTGCTGAAGGTCTGTTGTCGGCAACCTGTCATAAATTATTATTTTTCAATATCGGCTGACGAAGTTTTTATGACCATGTCCGGTAATCGTCTATCCCGGTGCGGTAGGTATATACATTTTAGGAAGAATTGCTGGTTCCGTTTAAGGCAAAATAAGTACAATTTCTGAGAAAAGTATTTAAACCCCTTATAGGATCAAAGGCTGCCAAATATTTTTTCAATAATTTTTTTTCCGACGAGTTGATTCGAAAAACATAAGATGTGATGTTCCTGAATCATGATTTTCGAAAAATTCGGTTTGGAAGTGATATTTTTTAAATATCTTGAAAATTAAAAATAAAGCCTTAAATATCTTCTATAAGTTGAAATCTACCAGAAAAAGTGTTGGGGTAATTTTTCGAAGAGTCATATTTTTTGAAAATTTGAAAATTTTGAAAATCTAAAAATCCTTAAAAATTCTAAAAAATATATTTCCACGAACGGATTCCTTAAACATTACATATTGATGTTCCCGTACAAAATTTTCGAAAAACCCGGTTTGAAAATGATTTTTTTTTCAATATCTTGAAAATTGTATATTTAATCGATTCTGGAAAAATTGTTGGAATTTTTGAAGAAATAAAAGTGAAAACAACTCGAGAAGTCGAAATTTACTAGAAAATGTATTCAGGTAAATTTCAGACTTATCGATTTCTCAATGTTTCGGTGTTTCAGTTCTTCAATATTTTTGTTTTTCAATTCTTCGATTTTCAGATTTGCTGAAAAATTGAAATTTTTGAAAAGTTCTCTAAAAATTCTCAAAAAAATCTGGGAAATACATTTCGACGAGTTAATCCGAAAAACACGACATGTTGATTTTCCAGTACCAAGACTTTAAAATTTCGGTTTGAAAATGATTTTTTTTTAAATATCTCGAAAACTATTATTCTTTATTTAATCTATTCTGGATCAATTGTTGGAATTTTTTAAGATATAAAGCCAAAAAAAACTTCTAATGCTCAAAATCTATAAGAAAATGTCTAAATAATATTTCGAAGGGTGCTTGAAGTGGTCAAAATTTCGTATTTTTGAAAAATTGAAATTGTTGCAAAGTTGTCTAAAAAATCCTAAAAAATTCTGAAAAACACTCCAACGAGCCGAAAAACAGAACATGTTGACTTTCCCGTACCACGATTTTCGAAAATCTCGGTTTGAAAATGATTTTTTTGTTGTATATTTATTAATTTATTTTGGGACAATTGTTGCAAAAATAACTTCTACGACCCAAAATCTTCAAGAAAATGTCTACGTAATACATCGAAAGATGTTTGAAAAGTGGTTAAAATTTCGTATTTTTGGAAAATTGATACTTTTGAAAAGTTGTCTAGAAATTCTCAAAAAAATCTGGGAAATACCTTTCGACGAGTTAAAAGATTTATCTAAAATTCTAGATGTTTTCACTCAAGTTATTACATTATTCACACTTCATAACTACTCACTGAAGATTTATATAATTCGGGGATTAAATGTAAGCTTAAACATCGATCCGTTTTGAGTGAAAGGACCTTGAAAACTGTCATCAGTTAAATTAATATCAGCAAGGGCTCGAAAAGGGAGGGCTTTAAATGATTCTAATTCGCGTTTTCCTATAATTATGAAGTTATTAAAAACAAATCAGCAATATTATAATGGGGCAACTACAATTTAGCGGCTTAAATTCATAATTTAATTACAAAAGTCGGTAAATCGATCTCTGAATTTTTAGGAAAATTTCGATTCAAGCTGACTCCTCGAAGTGGGTGATTTTTCCGTCAATAGCAATTTGTTTTGCGCCGTGGTGGTAATTTTTCTAGTTCGCATTCGTGACTTTTCATGGATTTTTACGTTTATTAGTGATAATTATTAAGAAACATCCAGCCTCGGTACGACGTCTATGGATTCTAGTATGTACGGCGATGATGACTCATCGGTTGGGCGGCGCGCCGTAAGTTTGATATAAAATAATAGCTTTAAAATAAAACAGAAAAGACAAATTACTTCAAAAGTATTGTACTAGAATGCCACAGGTTGAATCCAAATGCCAAAAAAGATATTCGATGATGATAAAAAATGTTTTCCAACTACTATCAATTGAATAATCAGTTATCCTTTTTTGCGGACAGATTAATAACACATTCGCATTGACTAATTCATTGTTTTTGAATTATTTATTCCCGTAGAAACCGTAATGGATCCAATAATAGACAGCAACGCTCCGAAAACTTTAGTTTTCACAAGACTTTTTAAAATGTCTTTGGTTGTACTGTCCATACTAATTTTTTCTGTCTCTATACCCGTAAATTTTGGTTGTGAACTTCACCATTCTGGTTAGTTGAATACAGAGTGTCATATAATATAACCCACAAGCCGACTTTTTTTCAAACACTCTTACTATCACGGCTGGAGAAGGTATAGATGTAAATGGGTTTATACCAAGGTTATGTTGTGCAATGTTAAATTTCACCCAAGAGCTATATTTCGTGAATTTTAATGGGTGTGGTATACAGGAAATAGAGGCTTGTTTTTCGAAAAATATACGAGACATCAGAGGTCAACTAAAATTCGTCTACAACCACATAGCAACGATTAAAAAAGACACATTTAAAAATTTAAGCATGCAATCTATTTTTTTGGATCACAATTCTATAAGAAAAGTGGAAGACGATGCCTTCAACAACCTGCCCGATTTGGAACAATTAGGATTAAATAATAATCTCTTAAGAGAACTGAATCCAAATTCTTTTAAAAAGCTACCAAAACTACAAACGCTATATCTCTCTTGTAATGATATTATATTTCTACAAGAAAGCGCGCTGGCTTTCCTGCAGCAGCCTTACGTATTTATTTCCTTTCCACAATAAAAGAGTGGATAACCCCACTTGATAAATTTTCAAAGGTAATTTTCCCCTTTAAAAGTGTTCATGGGCACCTAGAATTTTGCACAGTTTCTTACTTTAGTATTCTCTACGATATATACTTGTACAAATCTCGACCAAGTTTGAGGTTACATTATCACAAATTTTAATCACATCAATTAAAAAAAAACTAGAACTAAATCAAATATTTTTTCAATAATTTTTTTTCCGACGAGTTGATTCGAAAAACATAAGATGTGATGTTCCTGAATCATGATTTTCGAAAAATTCGATTTGGAAATGATATTTTTTAAATATCTTGAAAATTAAAAATAAAGCCTAAAATATCTTCTACAAGTTGAAATCTACCAGAAAAAGTGTTGGGGTAATTTTTCGAAGGGTCATATTTTTTGAAAATTTGAAAATTTTGAAAATCTAAAAATTCTTAAAAATTCTAAAAAATATATTTCCACGAACGGATTCCTTAAACATTATATATTGATGTTCCTGTACAAAATTTTCGAAAAACCCGGTTTGAAAATGATTTTTTTTCAAAATCTTGAAAATTGTATATTTAATCGATTCTGGAAAAATTGTTGGAATTTTTGAAGAAATAAAGGTGAAAACAACTTCTAGAAGTCGAAATTTACTAGAAAATGTATTCAGGTAAATTTCAGATTTATCGATTTCTCAATGTTCCGGTGTTTCAGTTCTTCAATATTTTTGTTTTTCAATTCTTCGATTTTCAGATTTGCTGAAAAATTGAAATTTTTGAAAAGTTCTCAAAAAATTCTCAAAAAAATCTGGGAAATACATTTCGACGAGTTAATCCGAAAAACACGACATGTTGATTTTCCAGTACCAAGATTTTAAAATTTCGGTTTGAAAATGATTTTTTTTTAAATATCTCGAAAACTATTATTCTTTATTTAATCTATTCTGGATCAATTGTTGGAATTTTTTAAGATATAAAGCCAAAAAAAACTTCTAATGCTCAAAATCTATAAGAAAACGTCTAAATAATATTTCGAAGAGTGCTTGAAGCGGTCAAAATTTCGTATTTTTGAAAAATTGAAATTGTTGCAAACTTGTCTAAAAAATCCTAAAAAATTCTGAAAAACACTCCAACGAGCCGAAAAACAGAACATGTTGACTTTCCCGTACCACGATTTTCGAAAATCTCGGTTTGAAAATGATTTTTTTGTTGTTTATTTATTAATTTATTTTGGAACAATTGTTGCAAAAATAACTTCTACGACCCAAAATCTTCAAGAAAATGTCTACGTAATACATCGAAGGATGTTTGAAAAGTGGTTAAAATTTCGTATTTTTGGAAAATTGATACTTTTGAAAAGTTGTCTAGAAATTCTCAAAAACATCTGGGAAATACCTTTCGACGAGTTAAAAGATTTATCTAAAATTCTAGATGTTTTTACTCAAGTTATTACATTATTCACACTTCATAACTACTCACTGAAGATTTATATAATTCGGGGATTAAATGTAAGCTTAAACATCGATCCGTTTTGAGTGTAAGGACCTTGAAAACTGTCATCAGTTAAATTAATATCAGCAAGGGCTCGAAAAGGGAGGGTTTAAATCATTCTAATTCGCGTTTTCCTATAATTATGAGGTTATTAAAAACAAATCAGCAGCCTTCGGCGAGTTGTTTTGGCGTAACAATAGTGCATTTTCGTGAATATTATAATGGGGCAACTACAATTTAGCGGCTTAAATTCATAGTTTAATTACAAAAGTCGGTAAATTAATCTCTAAATTTTTAGGAAAATTTCGATTCAAGCTGACTCCTCGAAGTGGGTGATTTTTCCGTCAATAGCAATTTGTTTTGCGCCGTGGTGGTAATTTTTCTAGTTCGCATTCGTGACTTTTCGTGGATTTTTACGTTTATTAGTGATAATTATTAAGAAACAGCCAGCCTCGGTACGACGCCTATGGATTCTAGTATGTACGGCGATGATGACTCATCGGTTGGGCGGCGCGCCGTAAGTTTGATATAAAATAATAGCTTTAAAATAAAACAGAAAAGACAAATTACTTCAAAAGTATTGTACTAGAATGCCACAGGTTGAATCCAAATGCCAAAAAAGATATTCGATGATGATAAAAAATGTTTTCCAACTACTATCAATTGAATAATCAGTTATCCTTTTTTGCGGACACCTTAATAACACATTCGCATTGACCAATTCATTGTTTTTGAATTATTTATTCCCGTAGAAACCGTAATGGATCCAATAATAGACAACAACGCTCCGAAAACTTTCGTTTTCACAAGACTTTTTAAAATGTCTTTGGTTGTACTGTCCATACTAATTTTTTCTGTCTCTATACCCGTAAATTTTGGTTGTGAACTTCACCATTCTGGTTAGTTGAATACAGAGTGTCATATAATATAACCTACAAGCCGACTTTTTTTCAAACACTCTTACTATCACGGCTGGAGAAGGTATAGATGTAAATGGGTTTATACCAAGGTTATGTTGTGCAATGTTAAATTTCACTCAAGAGCTATATTTCGTGAATTTTAATGGGTGTGGTATACAGGAAATAGAGGTTTGTTTTTCGAAAAATATACGAGACATCACAGGTCAACTAAAATTCGTCTACAACCACATAGCAACGATTAAAAAAGACACATTTAAAAATCTAAGCATGCAATCTATTTTTATGGATCACAATTCTATAAGAAAAGTGGAAGACGATGCCTTCAACAACCTGCCCGATTTGGAACAATTAGGATTAAATAATAATCTCTTAAGAGAACTGAATCCAAATGCTTTTAAAAAGCTACCAAGACTACAGACGCTATATCTCTCTTGTAATGATATTATATTTCTGCAAGAAAGCGCACTGGGTTTCCTGCAGCAGCCTTACGTATTTATTTCCTTTCCACAATAAAAGAGTGGATAACCCCATTTGATAAATTTTCAAAGGTAATTTTCCCCTTTAAAAGTTGTTCATGGGCACCTAGAATTTTGCACAGTTTCTTACTTTAGTATTCTCTACGATATATACTTGTACAAATCTCGACCAAGTTTGAGGTTACATTATCACAAATTTTAATCACACCAATTAAAAAAAAAACTAGAATTAAATCAAATATTTTTTCAATAATTTTTTTTCAAAAACTAAACTGCCTCTTCTGAGTACCTGAGGTGTAGGTAGTTTCAATATATATTGATTTTCTTGGATCTCCTCCTGATCTTTAATGTCCGGAAACATAAAAGCATCCGGAATTTTTGGATTCCTTTTCAAAAAATCACAAAAAATAGGGTTAAGTGATAACACTTTACCAATGTAACATTTTTTGTTTTGTTTTTGAGTTGTTAATTGTACTATAATATAATCGTCTATATTTAAGTCTGGTTTAGAACGATCAGTCTTACTATTTTCAGCCTTGAGATTCAAACGAGGATTCAAATCATCAGAATAATTGGAAGAATTCAAAAATTACTACTAGTATAACTCAACTAATAACTACTGAAAAAAAGTGAAATAAAAAAATGTATCTGTATCTGCGCCATTAATTTTGTATCTAGATACAGATATTTTGTGCTTAAATTCGATTTTATCTAGATACAGATACTAGATACCCAAAAATGTAACCATTGTGGGTCAGCAACTAATTTTTTGGTGGATGTTCCAGGTATCACGGTCAGACCAGTCCTAAATGACAATCCCATCGAGTACCGAGCAGGCGATTCCGACTATATGCGCATGTGGAACGAAAAATTGACCGAGTTTTTAGAACGTGAGTACGTCGATTATAAAATTTTGAAAACATAATAAATACATTTTCAGCTTATTTGTCTGGAACGAGATCGGAAAATGTGCAAAATTGCTTCCACCAGCAGTATCCGGATTCAGGTAAAGTGTGCAACGTTAAATTAACGTCGGAGTTTACGCCATGCTTGCCTCCCTACAATTTCGGCTTTGATTTCGACAATTCGGACAAAGGGCCTTGTATTTTTTTGAAACTCAACAAAGTACGTAATGCTGATTTTTGAAAAAAGAAAAATTTTTTGTCTGAAAATTTTTGGTAGATTTTCGACTGGGTTCCAAAATATTACCACAAGGAGAACATACCAGCTGATATGCCCACGGAACTGGCGCAAAAAATCATTAATGCGGAATTAGTAAACCAGGTAGAAAGGCGGCGTGAATTTTGTAGTAAATCAGGAGATTTTTCAGCATGATAAAATTTGGGTGGACTGTAGACCGAATAATGTTTCGGATGTTGGGAATTTAGGTGATGTTAGCTATTATCCGCAACAAGGGTTCGAAGGGAAATATTTTCCCTATACTAACGTCGAGGGTTATTTGAGTCCTCTAGTGGCCGTCCATTTTGAAAAGCCGAAGCGTAAGTAAACAGTACAACCTTAGTCTGTCTGTCTGTCTGTCTGTCTGTCTGTCCGTCTGTCTGTCTGTCTGTCTGCCGTCTGTCCGGATTTTAGCTCCTATTTAGATTTAAAAAAATAAGAAACTTCTACACATGTGATTTATGCATCCGTGTTGAGTTTTACCCTTGGCATTCAGATCAAAATTATATAACCAATATTTTACAATTTAACTTTGAAGTTTCACAAACCGAATTCTGTGAAACCTTGGAAATATACTAATACATTTGTTCCCATTCGACCAATTCAGTTTATTTTTGATTATCCAGTTTTACAAATTTGCAGCTTTTCCATTTTTTGGTTCGAAAACTTGAAAAATCGAAAAAGTGCAAAAACGGAAAAAGTGGAAAATCGAAAAACTGCATATCGAAGGACTGAAGAAACGAAAATCTGAAAAATCTGTAATTGAAAAAAAGAAAATTAAAAATATCCAAAAATTGCAAACGAAAAAAATACGAAACAATGAAATATTCAAAAAATGAAAAATTTTACGTTGAAAAAAGAAAAATTATAAAATCAAAACATTGAAAAATCGAAAAATTGAAAAAAAAAAGAAAATAAAAACGAATATCGAAAAATTGAAAAATAATAATTGAAAAAGATCACACATAGAAATCGAAAAACTGAAAAATTTAAAAACGTAAAAAAAAACTGTAAAATTGAAAAATCGAACAACTGTAAAATCAGAAAATTGTAAAGTTTCAAAATTGCAAAACAAAAAAATTAAGTAACAAAAATTGAAGAAACAAGAAACTGAAAAACCGAAAAATTGTACTAACGAAACTTTGTAACATCAAAAAATGGAAGAAACAAAAAATTAAAGACAGGAAAAATCGTAGAATGGAAAAATTATAAAGCTGAAAATTTTAAGAATGAAAAATAAAAAAATTAAAAATCGAGTAACTGAAAAATGCAAAAATTGAAGTATTTAAAACTGAAAAATTGAAGACAGGAAAAATAGTAAAATCGAACAACTATAAAATCGAAAAGTTGTAAAATCGAAAAATTTAAGAAACGAAAAATAGAAAAATCGAGAATCTTGAAGATCAAAAATGTCAAAATACGAAACACAAAAAAACTGAAACAAAATTTGAAACTCGAAAAACTTCAAATCAAAAATTTACAAACCTGAAAAATTGGAGAAATGAAAAATTGTAAAACCAAAAAATTGAATTGTAACAATTTTAACCACTTTTTTGGAAATTTTTGGAAAATTTTGAGTTCACTTTTCGTGTATATTTTAACAGATATCGTGACGGCGGTTTCAGATTCGTAACTGGCGGAAGATTATCTACAATTTGACACCAATTTTCCGTAGATTTTTACAATTTAACTTTGAGGTTTAAAAAATGGAATTCTGTGAAACCTTGGAAACATATTAATACATTTGTCCTATTCGACCAATTTTTAAGTTTCTCAATTTTTACTCTTTTCATTTTTTTAAGTCTTCGGTTTCTTTTTGTTTATCCAGATTTACAGATTTGCAGTTTTTTCATTTTTTTGGTTCGAAAACTTGAAAAATCGAAAAAGTGCAAAAACGGAAAAACTGAAAAATCTGAAATTGAAAAAATGAAAATTTAAAAAATCTAAAAATAACAAACGAAAAAAATGCGATTCCAAACAATGAAATATTCAAAAAATGAAAAATTTGACGTTGAAAAAAGAAAAATTATAAAATCAAAACATCGAAAAATTGAAAAATTGAAAAAAAAAGAAAATAAAAAAGAATATCGAAAAATTGAAAAATAATAATTGAAAACTTTTGAAATTGCAAATCGAAAGTTTGCAAAATCTACAAATTGAAAGATCACACACAAAATTTGGAAAATCGAAATCTGAGAAATTTACAAACGTAAAAAAACTGTAAAATTGAAAAATCGAACAACTGTAAAACCAGAAAATTGTAAAGTTTCAAAATTGCAAAACAAAAAAATTAAGTAATAAAAATTGAAGAAACAAGAAACTGAAAAACCGAAAAATTGTACTAACGAAACTTTGTAACATCAAAACATGGAAGAAACAAAAAATTAAAGACACGAAAAATGGTAAAATGGAAAAATTGTAGAATGAAAAATAAAAAAAACGAAAAATTCAAAACAGGAAAAATAGTAAAATCGAAAAACTATAAAATCGAAAAGTTCGGAAAAGTGAAAATATGAAACAAAAAACTGAAACAAAATTTAAAACTCGAAAAACTTCAAATCAAAATTTAAAAAAACCTGAAAAACTGGAGAAATGTAAAATTGTAAAACCAAAAAATTGAAAGAATAAAAAATAAAAAAAATCGAAAAATGAAGAAACGAAGAATTAGTTAATTGAAACAATATTTGAAAACTCAAACATTTAAACATTTAAAATTGTAAACAAGAAAAGTTGTAAAATAAAAAAATTGAACAAAAGAAAAATTAAAAATCGAGGATCTGAAAGATTGCAAAATTGAAACACTGAAAAAATGAAAAATTGTGCCATTGTAAAGTTGAAAAATTGAAAAGAAAAAAGTTGGAAAAGTGAAAAATTGAACAAATAGAACATCGATGAACGAAAAATTAAAAAATCGAAAAATTTCAAATCAAAAACTTAAAAACCTGAAAAATTGAAGAAATGTAAAATTGTAAAACCAAAAAATCGAAAAGTCAAAAAATCGAAAAATGAAGAAACAAAAAATTTTAAGATTGAAAAATTATAATATCGAAAAAATGAAGACACGAAGAATTAGTTAATTGAAACAATATTTGCAAACTCAAACATTTAAAAATTTAAGACTGGAAAGAAGAAAAGTTGTAAAATAAAAAAATAAAAAAATCGAAAAATGAAGAAACGAAAAATTGTGAGATTGAAAAATTATAATATCGAAAAAATGAAGCAACGAAGAATTAGTTAATTGAAACAATATTTGAAAACTCAAACATTTAAAAATTTAAGACCAAAGAAGGAAAGATGTAAAATAAAAAATTGAAGAAAAGAAAAATTAAAAAATCGAAAAATTAAAAATCGAGGATCTGAAAGAACTCAAAATTGAAACAACGTAAAACTGAAAAATCGAACAATTGCAGATCGAAAAATTGCAAGATTTAAAAACATTCAAAATTTTGAAAATCGAATAACTCAAAAATATAAAAATGAAAGAAAACTCAAAGAATTGCAGATAACAAAAAATTAAAATTGAAAAAACAAAAAATTATAATCGGAACATTGAAAAATCGAAAAATTATAAGATTGAAAATTGGAAGAAAAAAAATTGAATTGAATAATACAAAATTTGAAACACAAAAAGATCGAAAATTAATTAATTGAAACTGAAAGTTGTAAAATCAAACAATAAAAATTTAAAACTGAAAAGTCGAAAAATTAAAAGGCTGAACAAAGAATGAAAAATCCAAAAAGCAAAACATGAAAAAATCCAAAAATTAGAAAATCTAAAATTAAAAAAATCGAAATATTTAAAAATAAAAAAATCGAAAAGTTGATAAATCTGAATAGTGAAAAATCCCAAAATTGAAAAATTCAAAAAATTGAAAAATAGAAAAATCGACAAATCGAAATATGTATCTAATAATTGAATATAAAAGTTGAAAAAACAAACAATGAAAATTTAAAATTGAAAACTCGAAAAATTGTAAAATCAAAAAATTTAAGAACGAAAAACTGAAAAATCGAAAAATTAAAAATTGGAACACTGTAAAGTCGAAAAATCGAGCAATTGTAAAATTCAAAAAATTGTAAAATCGGAAAATCGAAGAAACGACAAATTGAAAATTCAAAAAAATAAAAGACTAAAATAAAGAATGAAAAATCGAAAAATCATATCGAAAAATCCAAAAATTGAAAAATCTAAATTTTAAAAAATCGAAAAAGTAAAAAATAAAAAAAATCGAAAAGATGAAATTCATACCTAATTATAGAAAAATCCCAAAATTAAAAATAGAAAAACTACAAATTTCCAAAATCGAAAAACAGAGAAACGGAAAAATCTGAAAGCGAGAAGTATAAAGAAAAATCTAAAACTTGAAAATTAAAAAATTAAAAAATAGAAAAAATGACAAATCGAAATATGTATTTAAAATTTAAATAAACGCAAAATAGAAGTGTCGAAAAATTGAAAAATCGGGCCATTAAACATCAAAAAATCGAAAAAATTAAATACCTAATAATTGAAACTGAAATTTGAAATTGAAAACTCTAAAAACTGAAAATCTTGAATTACTGAAAAATTGAGCAATTGTAAAGTGGAAAAACTGTAAAATCGAAGAAACGAAAATTTGAAAATTCGAAAAATTAAAAGACTGAAAATAAATGAATGAAAAATCGAAAAATCAAAACATCAAAAAATCCAAAAATTGAAAAATCGAAATAGTAAAAAATAAAAAAACCGAAAAGTTGAAAAATCTAAATATTGAAAACGAAAAAAATGTAAAATCAAAAACTTAAAAGTCGAAATATTGTAAATTTTTAAGATCGAAATACTGAAAAATTTAAACACTATAAAGTTGAAAAAACGAGCAATTGTAAAGTTGAAAAAATGAAAAATTAAAAGACCGAAAATTTGAAGAATCAGAAAATTGAATAAATGAAAAACTCAAAAGTTGAAACACAAAATACTAAAAAATTTAATATATGAGAAAGTCCAAAAATTGAAGGACAAAACAAATTGAAGAGACGAAAAATTGAAAATTAAAAATTGAAGAAACTAAAAATTGTATCATTGAAAAATTATAATATCGAAAAAGGAGCGACGAATTACTTAATTGAAACAATCAAAAATTGAAAACTTAAACATTTAAAAATTTAAACTTGTAAACAAGAAAAATTGTAAAATCAAAAATTGAACAAAAGAAAAATCAAAATTGAAAAAATTAAAAGTCGAGAATTTGGAAAATCGCAAAATTAACACACTGCAAAACTGAAAAGTCGATCAATTGTAAAGTCGAAAAATTGAGAAGTAAAAAATTGGAAATTTGAAAAATTGACCAAAAAATTGGAGAACCGAAAAACTGAAAAATCAAAAAATCAATAGATTAAAAATTGAAAACTAGTGAAAAAATTTAAATTGAAATAACGAAAAATTATAAAATTGGAGCATTGAAAAATCGAATAAATAAAAACAATAAAAAACCGAAATGAAAAACTGAAGAATCGAAAAATGAAAACATTGAAAATCGAAAAACTGAAAAATAAAAATTGAAATTTCGTGAAATTGTAGATCCAAAAATTGCAAAATCTTTAATTTGAAACACCAAAATTGGAAATTCGAAAAACTGAAAAATATAAAAATGAAAACTCGAGAAACTCAAAGCGAAAAATTGCAAAATTAAAATTTTAAAAGTGGGACACAAAGGGAAGTTCCATCGAAATAACCTTCGACCAATTTTAATTATTAATATGAATCATTTGCAGGTGGAATTCCCTTCGACATTGTATGTAAGGCTTGGGCAGCCAATATCCAACACGACCGAAAATACAATAAAGGACTAGTCCGATTTACTCTACATGTGCATTAGTACTTAATAAATAATCTAAATAATATTATAAGCGAATTTTATTAAATAAATTCTATTTGTTCTAATTATGTTGTTATTATACAATACAAATCGCATCTTCTTCCTCCACTCTAGCGAAGGTCAAATATCCAATGATGGTAAAAAAACCGGTTGTCAGAAGTATTTTCGCTTTGAAACAGTATATGTGAAAACAACAACCGCAATGCGTACCACAAACCACGTTGCAGGTACATAAAACCAAGGTTAACTCTCAAATTACTCTTCAATTTCTAAATTTCAGCACTCCTTTTCGTTTATTTATCTTGGACCAGTGCTTGTCAAAGTCGAATCAAAAACAGTCCAGGTGAGTCATTTTGTAACCCCGAATTAGTCAAAATGTGTCGTTTTCCAAAAAAATTAAGTTCTGGAATTCAGGCCACTCCCAAAGGAAAGCGACAGTACCCTGGTATGGATCCAAGGAAGGTCGGAAGAGCTGTATCAACACTGGATAGATTCATTAACTCATTTTTTGGAACGTAAGAAAACCAAAAATTTGGAAATTTTTAAATTATTATGGATGTGCAGCATATTTTAGTATAGGTGGTTGGGGAAGTTCTGACCATAAATGTAGCGACGAACCACCACCGAAAGGAAGCGTTTGTGCTGTAAAAGTCCGCGATTTTTGGCCTTGTAGTCCAGAAAACCGCTTCGGATATGACAGAGGAGAACCCTGTATATTTCTCAGACTTGGTGACGTAAGTGGAAAACGAAATACCACTATCCAATCAGCATTGATAATAATTTGTGGGTGTTTTAGATCCCGAAAGGGTGGAGACCGGAATTGTACAATTCGTCCAACGTGCCCAAAGAAATGCCCGATTTTTTGAAAAATTTAGTTCGAGAGGAGGAACAAAAGGGGAAGGTAAGAATATTCCACATATACAGCGTGTCAAAATTATTATTTATGTTTTCAGCACAGCAAAGTGTGGGTCTCTTGTGACGGTGACTATCCAGCTGACAAAGAATACATTGGTCCAGTTACGTATTATCCAGGACCGGCTTTTCCGGCGTATCATTTTCATGCCGCAGATAACACGGAATTTTTAAATCCGTTAGTGGCGGTAAAATTTGAACGGGCAAGCAGTAAGTCCCCAAAAATTTTTTAAATTTTTTTACGAAGTGTCACTTTTTTTTTTATTTTTTAGGGGGGGTTATAATCAACGTGGTATGTACAGCATGGGCCACAAATATTCCGCGTGATGCCAAAGAAAAACTTGGGACGCTTAATTTTGAGTTAAGCATAGACTAAAATTGAAATTTGTGATGGAAAAAGAATAAAATGTTACCACTTTTTTTTAAATAAGAGGTGTGACGAAATTTAAGAAATTTATAAATGTCACAAGAAATTTGTTCAAGGAATGTTTCAGTTATAAATAAATACTTTTTTACATAGCATAATTTATTATAATAATTGTTATTTTATTAAGTTAACAGTGTTAATTTTTGTGTGAAGATGAATAAATACAGATCTATCTGTACGTAAAACGTAACAATATACTAATGCTATTAATAACACCGGCAGATTTAGAAAAGTTTGTCTTTATTTACATCATATGCTAAATATTTTAAATAACACATATTTTTATTTTGCTACCGTGTATTACTGGTTGCCTAACTGCTGTCGTGCATTATTGGTTGCCTAAGAATTAGAAATAAAGGAATATGTCGCTTCTTTGAAGAATTTTATATATTTTTTTTTATTAATTTCCATGAAGTAAAAACTGAAAAATGAGAAATCAAAAAACCGAAAATTTTAAAATCCAAAAACTGAAGAATCGAAACATAAAAAATCTAGAAAGTGAGAAGTCGAAAAATCAAAAATTCAAAATTGAAAAATTTAGAAACTGAAAATTCGAAGAACTAAAAATTTTAAAAATAGAAAAATTGAAAAACCGAAAATTCTGAAATCTAAAAAGTCGAAAAAATTTGTGAAAATCCGAAAAGTAAAAAATCAACAAAATCGAAATGTCGAAAAAATGAGAAATCAAAAAATTGAAACGCTGAAACTCCAAAAACTGAAAAAATGTTAAAACTCGAAAAGAACTGAAAAATCAAAAATTCAATATTCGATGTTTAAAATTGAAAAAATCGAGCAATCAATAAATCAAAAAATCCAAAAATTAGAAAATTTGAAATATTGAAAAATCCCAAAATTGAAAAATTGAAAGACCAAAAATATCGGAACAAAAAAAAGTGGATAATCTATAATTTAAAAGTTCAAAGAATCGAAAAGCTGAAAATCGAGAAATCGAAATGTCCAAAATTCAAAACTTCGAAAAATTAAAAAATGGAAGAATCGAAAAATGGAGAAATCAAAACACTGAAAAATGAATTAAATTGAAAAAATCGAAAATTTTGGAAAATCCAAGAAGTAGAATAGTAAATTGAAAAATGGAAATATTGAAAAATTCCAAAAATTAAAAAACAGAAAAACCAAAAATTTTAAAAAACAATCAATTGAAAAACGGAGAAACTTCAAAAAGTGAAAAATTTAAAATTTAAAGAACAGAAAAATTGAAGAACCGAGAAATGGAAAAATTGAAAACTCGAGAACTCAAAATATCGAAAAATCCAAAAATTAATTACACCTAAAATTTTAGCGTAAAAAATCAAAAAATCGAAACGTTGAAAAATGTAAATATTGAAAAATCCCAAAATGGAAAAATGGAAAAAGCAGTAATTTTAATAATAGAAAAAATGAAAAATTGGAAAATCTTAAAGCGAGAAGTCCAAAAAACATCAAAAAGTGAAAAATAGAGTAGAATAGAAAAATCGAAGAACTGAAAAATCGAGAAATGGAAAAATATCTAAAATTTAAGAAATCGAAGAATTTTGAAACATCAAAAAAATAAAAACATCTAAAAGTCGAAAAATGGAAAAATTGAAAAATCAAAATATTGAAAATTTCCAAAAATGAAGAATAAAAAAAATCCAAAAATCGTAAAAAGGTAAAATCTAGTAGGAAAAACCCGAAAAAAGTGAAAAATCATACAACTGAAAAATCTAAACTTCAAAAAATCCAAAAATTGAAGAAAATGGAGAAATCGAAACATGGAAAAATTGAAAGATTGAAAAATCTAAAATGGAAAAAACGAAAAATTTTAAAAAATCGAAAAAGTAATAATTCAAGAAATCGAAAAGTTGAAAAATCAAAATATTAAAAACTTCCAAAAATAAAGAATCAAAAAAATCCAAAAATCGTAAGAACGTAAAATCTAGTGGAAAACTCGAAAAATCGAAATATCGAAAATTCAAAACATAAAAAAAGTGAAAAATCATAGAACTGAAAAATCAAAAAAACAAAATATATCTAAAATTCAAAAAATCCAAAAATTGAAGAAAAGTGGAGAAATCAAAACTTGGAAAAATCGAAAGATTGACAAATCTATAATTGAAAAAACAAAAAATTTTGATAAATCGAAAAAGTAATAATTCAAAAAAAATTGGAAACTCGAAAAATCGAATGAACAATCTCAAAATAAAAAAAAAAAGAATCGAAAAATTGAAAAAACTAAAATTTAAAAAATGGAAAAATTGAAAAAAATCCAAGAAGTAAGTTATCAAAAAATTGAAAACTCGAAATATTAAAAAAAAGCCAAAATTAAAAAATAGAAATTTTAAAAAAGTAATTAACTGAAAAACCGAAAAATCGAAAAACGCGAAGTCTAAAAATCGAAAGATCGAGAATTCAAAACATAAAAAAAGTGAAAAATCATAGAACTGAAAAATCAAAAAAACAAAATATATCTAAAATTCAAAAAATCCAAAAATTGAAGAAGTGGAGAAATCAAAACATGGAAAATCGAAAGATTGAAAAATCTAAAATTGAAAAAACGAAAAATTTTGAAAATCGAAAAAGTAATAATTCGAAAAATCGGAAATTCGAAAAATCCAATGAACAATCTAAACGTAAAAAAACAGAATCGAAAAATTGAAAACACTAAAATTAAAAAAAATGGAAAAATTTAGGAAAATCCAAGAAGTGAAATATCAAAAAATTGAAAACTCGAAATATTGAAAAATACCAAAATTAAAAAATAGAAAAATTAAAATAATGATTGACTGAAAAACCGAAAAATCAAAAAACGCGAAGTCTAAAAATCGAAAGATCGAGAATTTGAAACTTCAAAAAGTGACAAATCTGAAGCTTAAAAATGCAAAACAGAATTCACGTAGTAATCGAAGAACTGAAAAATGGAAAATTTAAAAAATCGAAAAATTTAGGAAAATCCAAAAAGTAGAATATCAAAAATTCGAAAAGTCGAAAATTTGAAAAATCGAAATATTGAAAAATTCCAAAATTAGAAAAGAGAAAAACCAAAAATTTGAAAAACAATAAATTGAAAAACCCAGAAACTTCAAAAAAGTGAAAATCTAAAATTTGAAAACCAGAAAAATTGAAGAACCAAGAAATGGAATAATTGAAAAATGGAGAATTTAATACGTCGAAAAATCCAAAAATTGAATACACCTAAAATTTAAAAAAATAGAAAACGTAAAAAATCAAAAAACCAGTAACTTTAATAATCGAAAAACTGAAAAATTGGAAATTCTTAAAGCGAGAAATCGATAAAACATCAAGAAGTGAAAAATTCAAAATTTTAAAATTAAAAAGTAGAAAAATCGAAGAACTGAAAAATCGAGAAATGGAAATATCTAAAATTTAAGAAACCGAAAAAAAAAACATGAAAAAAATAAAAAATTCGAAAAGTCCAAAAATGGAACAATTGAAAAATCAAAATACTGAAACTTCCAAAAATGAAGAACCAAAAAAAATCCAAAAATCCTAAAAACGTAAAATCTAGTAAGGAAAACTCGAAAAATCGATAATTCGAAACATAAAAAAATTTTAATATTGGAAAATATCTAAAAATTTAAGAAAAATGGAAAAATCGAGAGACTGAAAAAACGAAAAATTTTGAAAAATCGAAAAAATAATAATTCAAAAATCGAAAAGTCGAAAAATCGAATGAACAATCTCAAAATTAAAAAAAAATAGAAAAATTGAAAAAACCAAGATTTAAAAAATCGAAAAATTTAGGAAAATTCAAGTAGAATATCAAAAAATTGAAAACACTAAATATTAAAAAATTCCAACATCAAAAAATAGAAAAACCAAACATTAAGAAAAGCAATTAATTGAAAAATCGAAAAATCAAAAACGCGAAATCTACAAATCGAAAGATCCAGTATTTGAAACTTCGAAAAAGTGAAAAATCAAAAATTTAAAAGTTCAAAAATTGAAAAACAGAAAAATCAAAAAACTGAAAAATCGACAAATCGAAATATCTAAAATTCAAAACATCGAAAAATTAAAGAATGAAGAATCGAAAAATCGAGTAATCCATTTCACTAAAAAACGAATGAAATTTAAAAAATCGAAAAATTTAGAAAAATCCAAGTAGCATATCATCCAAAATTAAAAACAGAAAAACCAAAAATTAAAAAAAAATAATAAATTGAAAAATCGAGAACTCAAAACATCGTAAAATCCAAAAATTAAATAAATCTAAAATAAAAAAAAATCGAAAACGTAAAAATAAAAAAATCGAAACGTTGAATAATGTAAAGTTTGAAAAATTCCAAAATGTAAAATGGAAAAACCAGTAATTTTAATAATCAAAAAACTGAAAAATTGAAAAGTTGAAAACTTCCAAAAATGAGAATTAACAAAAAATCCGAAAATCGTGGAAACGTAAAATCTAGTAAGGAAAACTCGAAAAATCGAAAATTCGAAACACAAAACAAGTGAAAAATATTCGAAAAAATCATAGAACTGAAAAATCAAAAAAACAAAATATCTAAAACTCAAAAAATCCAAAAATTGAAGAAAAATGGAGAAATCAAAACATGGAAAAATCGAAAGATTGAAAAATCTAAAATTGAAAAATCGAAAAAGTAATAATTCAAAAATTCAGAAAGTCGAAAAATCGAATCAACAATCTCAAAATTAAAAAAAATCGAAAAATTGAAAAAACTAGAATTTAAAAAATCGAAAAAGAAGTAGAAAATTGAAAACTCGAAATATTAAAAAATTCCAAAATTAAAAAATAAAAAAAACAAAAATTAAAAAAAGCAGTTAATTGAAAAACCGAAAAATCAAAAAACGCAAAGTCTAAAAATCGAGAGATCGAGAATAAAAAAAAAGTCAAAAACCTTAGATTTAAAAGTTTAAAACAAAAGAATTGAAGAATTGATAAATCGAAAATTTGAAAAATCCAAAAATTGCAGAAAATTTGAAATTAAAAAATTGAAAACTTAAAAAAAATCGAAAACTTAAAAAAAATCGAAAAGTTGAAAAATGTAAATATTGAAAAGTCCCGAATTGGAAAACAAAAAAACCATTAATCTTAATAAACGAAAAACTGCAAAACTGGAAAATCTTAACATCAAAAAAGTGCATGTAAAATTTGAAAATTAAAAAAAAAATGGAAGAACTGAGCAATAAGAAAAATTAAAAAGTAGAACTTTTCTTTTCATATTGTCAAACCAAACACTTCAAGCTCTAAAAATTCTTGCGCATGTCCATATTTGTGTAAACAGTCACAATCGAGTAAATCCCTTTCACAATCTTAAACGAAAAATATAAGCAAATTTGGACCACAAAAACAAATGTATTTTTTTACAGCAACCCCCAGCTCCAAATTTATGGAATAATTTTCAGACAACTGGAGCCTCCTTTCGGTCATTAAGTTCATCAACAGGGTGAAGTACAACGTTTTGTTCTTTTTATTAAAATTATACCATTTCACTCCATTTATCACCAAGACCATGTCTTCCATCTAAAAACGATACGTATTAATATAATCAATACAGTGACATCTACACATTTTTTATAACACACTTCTGTTTCCAGAGCCTGCCCTGCCATTATGACTCCTACAAAGGTTAACAATGCCCCTAAGCCAGTCGCTAGGTGACGCGGGAAATAATCCGGGGTAACTACCCCCTGAAATACTTGAATCCAGTAAAAAAATTAAAGCTTACAATACTCACAGATAACGCAATTATGGCAATACTAATTCCCAAAAAGTACCCACACACGGCAAACCCTACCATCATAAACTTAATCTCTTTCAGCTTATTATTGTACGCCCTACAAGTCAACACTTAAAATAACTAAATCACCACCCGACCCGAAACACACTCACCCTAAATATTCGTCCCATCTCTTTATACAAAACCTCAATCTTCTATCCACTTCTTCTTGATACTCTCCATCATAAAACAAATCGTCTTCCTTTTTCCCTTGTCTGCAGTTGCCTATCCCCGCTATGTACTCATTCAACATGATAATCTGATACCTAAGATGCTGAGTGTAGTAGATGGTCTCCATAGCATGCAAAATCATCCCATATCCAAAAAACGGAATAGACAATCTAAAAAAACTCGAAAGAATCGCGTAATAATCAGGCAAAAAATCATGAATCATTTTTAGAACGAAGAACCACTCTTGATCGTGAGAAAGATTCTGCATGTAGAGACCACACCCAGTGAGGCAAATCAAGAACGTCACGATGGAGTAGACTGACAAAATTTGCGTCTCGAGTTTGATTCTTGAGTAGTGTTTTGGTCCAGCGGTGTCGATTGCCCATAATGGGAGCTCGTCTTTCAAATGGGCTACTTTTTCGCTGTCTTGTAGCACCAAAGCAGTGGCAAAAGTGGGCTAGGTTTTATTATAGGAGGTGTTTTGGTGCGTGTACTTACGTAGTAGTCTCCGATGAGGACGGCGATGTAGAGGACGTTTTGTTTAGGGTCGTGGTAGAGGTAGGCGATGAAGAGTAGTAGCATCAGGTCTGTGACGAAGTGAACCACGAAGGAGTACCAAGCTATGAGTTTTATGGGTTTGAGTTGGAGGATGTCGGAGGATATAAATCTAAGAGGTTTGAGACAGTCATCTGAAATTGAATAAAAAATAAGTATAGTGGGAGTAGTGGAGCGGTTTTTTAGACCTGTCATAAGTTTTGGGTTGTCGTAGTCACAGATGGACATTTTGAGGAGGTTGTGGTGGCTGAGAAAGCGGTTGTTTTGTTTCCAGTACCGTTGTACTTAATACAAACTAAACAAATTTCTGTCGTTATGTATAATTATGCAAAGATAATGATGGACATTAATTTAATAAAGTTAAGGAAAGTCGTGGTAATTGTAGTTTATATTTTTTTGCAATGAGTATAGTGTAGGAAAAATAGCGTGACCTACATCTGTGTGTTTGAAGGTAGTGAAAAAAGTAGAACTTGTAAATGGTACTTGACAAACAGTTATGTAAAATAACTCGTGTTCTCAATGGTTAATCAATTAAGATTTTAATATTTCAATAATGACAAATGTGCCCTTGACCGGAAACTTTTACACGATACTAAAAGAAAAAAAGAAAGACGTGTCTTTCACTATTTCATTGTTTTTTTTTTTGTATGAACATTAAAGACTTTTTATCTTGGTCTTCGATTAGCCGAAACGTTTTGCATAGCAAAAAGATTGTTATCATTACAAGAAAAAAGAACAAGCAAATTTAAATGATGTTAAATAAAATGACAATTTGAGAATAAATGTTCAAATTCAGGTTTCCTTTTTCGGTTTTTCGATATTTTAATTTTAGATTTTTCGATTTGTCGATTTCTCGTCTTCTCAACTTTTCGATTACTCGATGTTTTCAATCTTCCGTTCTTTCGATTTTCGGGTTTTTAGATTTTTTGTTTTTTGACGTTTCGGCTTTTCGATTTTTCGATATTTCTTATTGGATTCTTGGATTTTCGTTTTTTCTATGTTTGATTCATCTCCGATTTCTCAAATTTTCAATTTTTCGAATTTTCAGTTTAATATGTAGATTTTTGATTTTTGAATTTTCGATTTTTCAATTTTTCTATTCTTTTTTTTGGGTTTTCAATTACCTTCCTCTCCGATTTATTGATTTCTCGAGTTGTTTTTGATTTTAAATACTCGAATTTTCAATCTTTCTGCTTTTCGATTTTTGATTTTTCAAATTTTCTCAACTTTTCAACACTTCAATTTTGAGAATTTTTCAATTTCTAGATTTTTCAATTTTTGGATGTTACGATTTCTCGGTTTTCAGATTTTTTAATTATTTAACATTTTCTATTTTTCAATATTCCAATTTTTTTCGACTTTCGATATTTCGATCCTTCGATTTTTCGAAATCTGGATTCTTGAATTTTTCATTTTCGATTTTTCGGATTTTCGTTTTTTCTATTATTTGATATTACATATGATTTGATTCCTTTTCGATTTATAGATTTTTCAATTCTCCGATTTCTCATATTTTCAATTTTTGTATTTTTCTGTATTTCGAATTTCGGTTTTTGATTTTTTGAATTTTCGATTTTTTTTTTCCATTCCTTAGTTTTTTTTTGAACTGTCTTACTTTTTGATTTATTGATTTCTAGAGTTTTCGATTTTAGATTTTCAGTGTTTCTCCTTTTCGATTTTTGATTTTCCAAACTTTCCATTTTCCAACTTTTCAACACTTCAAGTCTTAGAAGTTTTACAATTTTAGATTTTTCAATATTTGTTTTCTCGGTTTTTGATTTTTCAACATTTCGGATTTCCGACTCTTAAATTTTCAGTTTTAGAATATTCAATTTTTCCATTTTTCAAATTTTGGAATTTTTTATTTCGAAGTCTCGATTTTCCCATTTTTCGACTTTCCAATCTATCGAACTTCGATATTCCGCTTTTCTATATTTCGATTCTTGCATTTTTCGACTTTTCGAAATCTTAATTTTTGAATTTTTTGCCTTTCCGATTTTTAGATTTTCGAATTTTCGGTTTTCCGATTTGTCGGATTTTCATTCTTTTCGATTATTTAATTCGTCGAATTTTCGATTATTCGACATTATATATAATTTGGTTCTTTTTCGATTTCTGGATTTTTCAATATCCGATTTCTTAAATTTTCAATTTTTCGATTTTTCAATTACCTTATTTTTCGATTTATTGATATATCAATTTTCGATTTATTGATATATCAATTTTCGATACTCGAATTTTCAATCTTTTTACTTTTCCATTTCTAGATTTTTCAATTTTTCGATATTTCGATTTCTCGGTTTTTAAATTTTTGATTTTTTGACATTTCGAATTTTCGATTTTCAAATTCTCAATTTTCGAATTTTCTATTTGTCGATATTCGATTTTTCAATTTTTCCATTCTTCAGTTTTTTGATTTTTCGATTACTTTACTTTTCGATTTAAGGATTTTTCAAATTTACAATTTCTCAACTTTTCAACAATTCAATTTGGAGAATTTTTCCATTTCTAGATTTTCGGTTTGTCGATTTCTCGTTTTCTCGATGTTTCTGTTTGTGGGTTTTTATGTTTTTCGGTTTTCCAACATTTCGGCTTTTCGAATTCTCGATTTTTCAATTTCCTCATTTTTCGACTTTCCGATTTTCGAATTTTCGATTTCTAAATTTTTGTATTTTTGGTGTTCTGATTGCTCGCATTTTCGCTTTTTCGAATATTTGATTAATCGAATTTTTGATTTTTCGATATCGGAATTTTCAGTTTATTTCTTTTTCGATTCTTAGATTTTTCTCCAATTTCTCAAAATTTCAATTTTTGGAATTTTCGATTTTTGATTTTATTAATTTCTGCATTTTGTTTCTTCGATTTTTTGAAATCTCGATTTTTGAATTTTTGATTTTTCGGTTTTTCGATTTTTAGATGTTTGAATTTTCGGTTTTCCGATTTGTCGGATTTTCGTTTTTTCGATTTGCTGTTTAGCAAATATATATCTATCATTATTATATTAATAATATTATTATTATTTGATTCGGCGAATTTTCGATTATTCGATATTATATATAATTTGTTTGATTTTTCGTTTTTCTCATTTTTCGACTTTCCGATTTTTCTACTTTCGATATTCCGTTTTTCTATATACCGATTTTTGCATTATTAGATTTTTCGAAACCTCGATTTTCGAATTTTCGATTTTTAAATTCTTGTATTTTGTGTTCCGATTGCTCGCATTTTCGTTTTTTCGAATATTTGATTAATGGAATTTTTGATTTTTCGATATCGGAATGTTCAGTTTGTTTGTTTTTCGATTCTTAGATTTTTCTTCGAGTTTTTTTTGCACTATTTGATTCATCGAATTTTCGATTATTAGATATATAATATATAATTTGTTTCCTTTTCGATTTCTGGATTTTTCAATCCCTGCTTTCTTAAATTTTCAATTTTTCCATTCTTTTGTTTTTTGATTTTTCAATTACCTTACTTTTCTATTTATTGATTTCCCGAGTTTTAGATTTTCGATACTCGAATTTTCAATCTTGCTACTTTTCGATCTTTGATTTTTCAAGTTTTCCATTTCTCAAATTTTCAACACTTCAACTTTGAGAATTTTTCCATTTCTAGATTTTTCAATTTTTCAATTTTTCGATTTCTCGGTTTTAGATTTTTTGATTTTTTGACATTTCGGCTTTTCGATTTTCAAATTCTCAATTTTCGTATTTTCGATTTTTCCATTTTTAGAATTTTCGATTTTTTCATATTCGAATTTTTTTAATTTCAAATTTTCCCATTTTTCGACTTTCCGATTTTTCGATTTTCGATATTCCGTTTCTCTATATTTCGTTTCTTGCATTTTAGATTTTTCGAAATCTCAATTTTCGAATTTTTTATTTTTCGGTTTCTCGATTTTTAAATTTTTGTATTTTCGGTTTTCCAATTGCTAGGATTTTAATTTTGTCGAATATCTTATTCACTGAATTTTCAATTTTTCGATTTGTTTCTTTTTCGATTTCTGGATTTTTCAATCTCTGATTTCTTAAATTTTCAATTTTTCGGTTTTTCAAATTTTCCATTTCTCAACTTTTGAATACTTCAGTTTTGAGATAATTTTTCCATTTCTAGATTTTTCAATTTTTCGATATTTCGATTTTTCGGCTTTTCGATATTCAAATTCACAATTTTCGATTTTTTGATTTTTCGATTTTTTCAATTTTTCCATTTTTCAATTTCGATATTTCGCTTTTCTATATTTTGATTCTTGCATTTTTAGATTTTTCGAATTTTTGATTTTTCGGTTTTTCGATTTTTAAATTTTTGTATTTTCGATTTTTGATTTTGCAATTTTTAGATTCCTCAGTTTTTAGACTTAAATGTTTTTACTTTTCGATTTCTCAAATTCCCAATTCCATTCTCAGTTTTTCGATTTTTCAATTTTTTGACTTCCGGAAAGATTTTTCTATTTTTTCAGTTTTCGAAATTTCGACAGTGCTTATAGTTCTGATTGTCTTCGATTTCCAGTCAAACTGCTGTATGTTTATACTAATCTCATTTGACATACACCTTGTAAAACTTTTATGACTTAAACGACTTAAGTCAAACCACCTTTATAAGTCAAAAGGGCTATTGTATTACTTAACTCAGTTCACAGCTCCATTATGCCAACAATGGAGAGTAATAATCCTTGCGGTTCGGGTCCACAAAGCTTACAATAGCCAGTTTGACTTATAAGGGTAGTTTGGCTTAAGTCGCTAAAGTCATAAAAGTTTTTCAAAGTGTATGTCAAGTGAGGTTACTTTGCATTATATTGTTCATATCATCTTCCAATTTAGAACTAAGGTCAAACGTCCGTTGATATAACCGGTTATCAAAAACGATTTTACTTCGAAACATTATATGTTAACACACTGTGAAGAACAACAACTCAAATGTGTTCAACAAAACACGTTGCAGGTAATTCTGCAACAAAGCTACTTAGCTTCAATATCTTAATATTGAAAATTCAGAACTTAAAAAAAACAAGAAACGAAAAATTGAAATTTCAAAAAAATGTAAAGTTGAAAAATTGAAAAAAAAAAACAAAAACTTGGAAAATTGAAGGTACGAAAAGTTGAAAAACGGAAAAAATTAAGAAGCTGAAAAATCCACAACGTGCAAAATCAAAAAAACGAAATATTGAAAAAACCAAAGATTTAAAAATTGAGGAACAGAGAAATTGAAAAATCGAAAACATGAAAAATTGTTGGTAATATCGAAAAATTGAAGAAATGAAAAATCGAAGAATTTGAAAGTTGAGAAAATTTAAAATCGAAAAAAGAAAATGAAGAAACGAGAAATTGTGAAATCAAAAAATGATAAAATACAAGAAGGTAGAACGAAAAATTGTGATAAATAAATTGTGAAATCGAAAAATTGAAAAATTAAAATCGAGAAAATGAAAAATTGTCAAATTGAGAAACTGAAAGTTGAAAATCGAAAACTTGAAACGAAAAATTGAAAAATCGAAAAAATAAAAATTGAGAAATCAAAAAAATGGAAAAACAAAGAACCAAAAAAGTGTAAAATAAAAAAATCGAGAAAAGGAAAAATAAAAACTGAGGAAACGAAAAATTGAAAAATCAAAAAATTAAAAAAAAGAACACTAAAAAACGCAAAATTGTCATCAAAAAACTATGAAGTCGAAAAATTGAAATATTGAAAATCCAGAACATTAAAAATTGAGGAACAGAGAAATTGAAAAATCGAAAACATGAAAAATTGAAATTTCAAAAAATTGAAAAAAAAAATCAAAAACTTGGAAAATTGAAGGTACGAAAAGTTGAAAAACGGAAAAAATTAAGAAGCTAAAAAATCTACAACGTGCAAAATCAAAAAAACGAAATATTCAAAAAACCAAAGATTCAAAATCAAAGAAACCGGAAAATTGGATAATTGTGAAATCCAAAAATTTCAAAATCAAAAAATCGAAGGATTGAAAGAAAATCATGGATTGAAAATTTGAAAAATTGAATAAAGGAAAAATTATATAATCTAAAAAAACGTTGAAGAAAATAAAGAAAATGAAAAAACAAAAAATTGCGATGTAAAAACGAAAATTAAAGACCGAGAATTTGAAAAATAAAAATCGAGAACTTTAAAAATTGAGGAACAGAGAACTTGGAATATCTAAAACATGAAAAATTGTAGGTAATATCGAAAAATTTAAGAAATGAAAAATCGAAGAATCTGGAAGTCGAGAAAACTTAAAATCGAAAAAAGAAAAAGAAAATGAAAAAACGAGAAATTCTGAAATCAAAAAATGATAAAATAGAAGAAGGTAGAACGAAAAATTGTGATAAAAATATTGTGAAATCGAAAAATTGAAAAATTAAAATCGAGAAAATGAAAATTGTAAAATTGAGAAACTGAGAGTTGAAAATCGAAAACTTGAAACGAAAAATTGAAAAATCGAAAAAATAAAAATTGAGAAATCAAAAAAATGGAAAAACAAAGAATGGAAAAAGTGTAAATTCAAAAAATCGAGAAAATGAAAAATAAAAATCAAGAACTTGAAAAAATGAGGAAACGAACAATTGAAAAATCAAAAAATTAAAAATAAAGACATTGAAAAAAGCAAAATTGTCATCAAAAAACTGTAAAATCGAAAAATTGAAAAATTAAAAATTAAGAAAATGAAAAATTTTATGTTAAGAACTTTAAAAATTCAAGAAACGAAAAATTGAAATACATATCAAAAAATCTAAAATTGAGAAACTGAATAAAAATCAAAAATTTGAAATAATAAGCCCCGCCCACCCGCCCTATCTCAATCCTGATGATTTTTTTTATTCGTCGTAAGCCGAGGGGCGGAGCTAAATTGTAAAATCTTTATTTTTCTACGAGAAATTATCTTATGAAATATCTTCTTAAGTAATTGTGTTAAACAAAGAAAACTAAAAGTATTAATTAAAAGAAAAAACAAAAAACAAAAGAGAAGCTCCACCCATCCGAGAGAAAAAATCCCTGAACGAACTAACGAGAGTATTGTAATCGAGTCCATAGAATACAAAAACAATGTTTCTCGTTACCGTCGATCTGTCTGTCTGCGTCCGTGTCGATGTTTATTGGACAGATAATCTCCGAAACTACCGCACTGATTGTTGTTAATTGGGAATGTCGTGTTGACTTTGAAATTGCAAACAGTTTGCGTTTTTTAAGCAATCATCTTCCAATTTAGCACTAAGGTCAAACGTCCATTGATATAGTCGATTATCCAGAATGTTTTCACTTAGAAACAGTGTATCTTAAACTAACTGCGAAGAACAACAACCACAAATGGGTACAGCAAAACGCGTTGCAGGTACTTTTGCAACAAAGTTAGGTCCCAAATTATTCACAAATTCGTAAGTTTCAGTACTGCTTTCGATTTATCTATCTTGGGCTAGCGCTGACCAAACTCAAACCATTAAAAGTCCAGGTGAGCCATTTTCTAAAAAACGCACTATTTTCTAAAAAAAAAAATCAGTTTTGGAACTTCGACCTTTCACAAACGAGCACGGAAGTAAGGAGATATGGGTCCAAGGAAGATCGAGAGAGACAGTACAACACTGGGCAGGTTTGTTAGATGACTTTTTGCAACGTAAGTGACGAGAAATTTCGAAAATTTGGAATTTAACACATGAATGTCTAGCTTATCGTAGTCAAAATGCCAGCGCTGACTCTACGATACATCAATGTGGCAACAATCCACCACCGGAAAATGGTGTCTGTGAAGTAGATGTCAGTAGTTTTGGGCCTTGTAATCCACAATCGCACTACGGATACACAGACTCACCCTGTATTTTTCTCAGACTTAATAACGTAAGTAGAAAAAAAATGTGCAGACAATTAGTACCGATGACTGTTCTAGGTGCCCAACGGATGGATGCCAGAGTTCTACAATGATTCCTACATTCCAGAAAAAATGCCCTACGTTTTGAGACACCATATTTGGAAGGAAAAACAAAAGGGAAACGTAACTAATACATAATTAATTGATTAATTATCATTAAATTACAATTTTTCTACAGACCAACAGAGTGTGGGTTTCTTGTAAAGGTAATTATGCACCTGACGCAGAATTCATTGGTTCAGTCAAGTACTATCCAGAACAGGCATTTCCATCCCACTATTTTGGCGCCTCAGGCAAGAAAAATTTCTTAAGTCCATTGGTGGCAGTCCACTTTGAACGACCAAGAAGTAAGTTCCAAAAATATCTTCAGAACTGGCTTATTTTAACAAAGAATTTTAACTATTGTCAAGTTTCTTAACAATCAATTAATTTTTTTATATTCTTTCCAGATGGGGTTGTAATCAATGTGTGGTGTACAGCCTGGGCAGCAAATATTCCTTATGAACTCGGAACAATAAATTTTGACCTAATGTTAGACAGTTAAAAAAAGTACATACAGTTCTTACTAAATAAATAATAATAATAACAATAAAACTGCTTTTATTAACACTGAAGATTATATGAATACAAATTAATCTGTAGAACATAAAAAGATATCCTGAAACCATGACATGTGACAAGACGAAGAATGTGGTTTTCTTTATGAATGCAAAATTCTTGAACTGATGATAAAAATATTGTCATAATTAGCAATAAGAGCGTTGCAAAAGCGATTTGCCCTCAAAAAGTAGGTTTAGCTGAGGCCAGGTCTTTCGCAAAGGAATAGCGAAATCCTTGGGGCAGCTAAGTCAATTTGGTGAGTGGTACGTATAAATCGATGAGAATTATTAGAACATCGAATGTCTAGAGTGTGAGAGTTATGTTCAAGACTGATGGACCAAGAATGTAAGTATTGAAGTTATTATATTAATTTTTAGTTAAGTTAGCTGATAAATCTTAGAATATAATAGAAATGTAAACACGACTTTTTAAATGTCTCCATAAAAAATTAAGGGGTGCAGATCCGGAGACCTAGGTGGCCATCCTATTGGTACACGCCTTACATTTACGCCATAATGTGGTGGTGCCCCATCCTGTTGAAACCAAATACTGCGATCTAAATTTTGTGGATTATCTAGAAGCACTGAGGTTCTAATAAGATGATCTAAATATCGATTAATATGAATTTTTTAGGTCGTTGGGTGTTGAACCCAATGAGGTTGTTCTCGAGCTTAGTAACGACAATTGAGTCATTTGGTCATTTTCGATACACTGTATGATATTAACACTGAGAGAAAAAAAAAAGTAATCGCAAATTCGAAAAATCGAGAAATCTAAAAATCGAAAATTCGAAACATTCTAAAAAAAATCTAAAAATCGTAAAATGAAAAGACCAAGAAATCGAGGAGTCGAAAAGTCGAACAATTGAGAAACCGAAATGGGCCAAAATCGAAAAATAAAAAGTTAAAAATTGATAAATTGTGAATTTGACAATCAAAATATCGAAAAATCCAAATCTCGATAAATCGAGAAATCAAAAAATTAAAAAATTCGAAAAATTGAAATTTTGAGAAATCGAAAGATCAAAAGATTCGAAAAATTGAAAAACAAAAAATTGTAGGTTGAAACATTGGAAAAGCGGAAAAATAAAACAAGGAAAAAATGGAAAACTGGAAAAACTGAGCAAGCGAAATAGCCCAAAATTAAAACTCGAAAAGTTATAAATTGAAAACCTGAACCATCCCAAACCTGAAATATCGAAAAATTGAAAAATGAAAGAAATACTAAAAATGGAAAAACTGAAAATCCGAAAACAGAAATATCCAAAAAGTGAGAATCTAAAAAGACGAACAATTGAGAAATCGAAAAATCAAAAAAAAAATAATTCGAAAAATCGATTTTTATAACTTTTCACTTTTTTCATTTTAGAATTTTAAAATTTTTCCATTTTTTAATTATTATACATATATTTAGAGTCTTTAATTTTTCATTTCTTCACATATCGATTTGCAGTTTTTTTTTGGGTTTTTTGTTTTCTTTTTTCTACAGTTTCTGTTAGATTTATCAATTTTTCGTTTCCCCTATTTTTTGTTTACAATTTTTCTAGTTTTTATTTTCAATATTATGTAATAATAATTATAACTTTCATAATTTTTCAATTTTTCAATTTTACGATTTTAGAATTTTTCTAGTTTTCATTTACTCGATTTTTCAATTTTTCAATTTTTATATTCTTTAATTTTTCAGTTCTTCAAATTTTCGATTTGCAGTTTTGCCTTTCAGTTTTTATTTTATTTTATTTTTACAATTTTTGATTTTTCGATATTCCGATTTTATAATTTCTTGTTTTTTCAATTTAAATTTTTTCAAAGATTCGTTTCTTCAATTTTTTCGATTTGTAATTTTCCAATTTTTTAATTTTTTTACTTTTTTACCCAAGCGTAAGCAAAGGAAGGTATTGTAATCGAGTCCGTCGGCTGACTCTCTTGTTTTACGTTTTCTCGACCTTTCATGATCCCTAGTGTACGAAGAAATAGGTCGCCCGTTTCCGTCTGTCTCGAGTTTTAACTGTTAAATTTTGCAGTTTTTCATATTTCCAACTTTTGAATATTCCAATTTTTAGTTTTTTTTTAATTTTTTGTATTTTTTAATTTTTCGGTTTTCCGAAGTTCTGAATTTATAATTTTTCTTTTTTCTTTGTGAAATTTTTAATTTTTTGAATTTTTATTTTTTCAATTTTAGTTTTTTCAGTTTCTCAATTTTTCAGTTTTTCGTATTTTTAGTTTCTGGTTTGCAAGTTTTCTAGTTTTTCTTTTAAATACGTAATAATATGTAATTATAATTTTTATAACTTTTCACTTTTTTCATTCTAGAATTTTAAAATTTTTAAATTTTTTAATTATTATACATATATTTAGAGTCTTTAATTTTTCATTTCTACACATTTTCGATTTGCAGTTTTCTTTTCGGTGTTTGGTTTCTTTTTTCTATAGTTTTTGATTTTTCAAAATTTCGATTTTCCAACTTTTGGATGTTCCAATTTTTAATTTTTTAATTTTTCATTTTTTCAATTTTACGAATTGCAAATTTTCGTTTCGGTCTTTTATTGTCTTTATTTTTTACTTTATCGGTTTTTGAAAGTTCTGAGAATTTATAATTTTTCTTTTTTCAATGTAAAATTTTTCAATTTTTCGTTTCTTCAATTTTTGGTTAGCAATTTTTTTAGTTTTCATTTTAAATATGTAGTAATAATTATAATTTTTCACTTTTTGAATTTTGCGATTTTAGAATTTTTTTGATTTTTCAAATATTGAATTTTACAACTTTTTTATTTATTCGATCTTTCAATGTTTCAATTTTTAGATTCTTTAATTTTTCATTTCTTCAAATTTTCGATTTACAGTTTCCCTGTCTGTTCTTTGTTTATTTGTTTTTACAATTTTTGGATTTTCAAATTCCATTTTATAATTTCTTGTTTTTTCAATTTAAATTTTTCAAAAATGAAAGAAAACATGAAAAATGGCAAATTAAATCGGGATATCAAAACATTGAAAGATCGAAAAATTTTAAAACTGAAAATTTAAAAAATCGAAACATTTGAAAACTTCGACAACTTGAAAAACTGAAATAACGAAGAAGCGAAATGAAATATTGAGAAATCGAAATATCTATAATTTTTAAATATTGAAAAATTAAAATATCAAAAAATTGAAAAGTCTAAAATTTGAAAATCGAAAATTTGAAAAATCGAGAAAGTAAAAAATCGACACATCGAAAAATTTAGAAGTAAAAAATCGAAAAGACGAAGAATATCAACACATTGAAAACTAAAAAAAAAAAGTGAAATATCCAAAAACTCAGAATCTAAAAAATTAAAAAATTGAGAAATCGAAAAATCAAAAAAATTAAGTCGAAAAATCGAAACCTTAAAAAATCGAAAAATTGAAAAATCAAAAACCTGAAAAATTGAAGAATTAAGGAACAGGAAAATCGAAACCTCGAAGTCAAGAAATGGGAAAATCCAAACAACGATTCATTGAAAATTCGAAAAATTAGAGTATATAAAAGTCAAATTTGAAAAATTGAAAAATCGAAAATTAAAAAAAACGACAATTGAAAAACAGGAAATTTAAAACCGGGAAGTCGAAAAACCGAAAGATTAAGAAATCGAAACATTTGAAAAATTCAAAAACTTGAAAAACTGAAATATCGAACCGAAATTAAAAATCGAGAAACTGAAAAATCTAAAATTTTAAATATCGAGGAATTAAAAAATAAAAAAATTGAAAATTCTCAAATTTAAAAATCGAAAAATTGAAAAATTGAAAAATCGAAAAAGTAAAAATATCTACACATCTAAAAATTCAGGAGTCAAAAATCGGAAAATCGAAGAATCAAAATATTGAAAAATCCCAAAACTGAAATATCGAAAAAAATTTAAAAATTAAGAAACCAAAAATCCAAAAAGTGAACTCGAAATATCGAAACCTTAAAAAAAATCGAAAAATTGAACAATCAAAAACCTGAAAAATCAAAAAATTGAAGAACAGGAAAGTCGAAAAACTCGAAAGTCAAGAAATGAAAGAATGGGAAAATCAAAACAAATTTAAAAATTGTAAAATCGAAACAATAAAAAATTGTAAAATCGAAAAATTGAAAAATCGAAATATCGAAGAACTGTAAATCGAAAAATCGAAACATCGAAGAACTGGAAACTAAAAAATCGAAAAATGAAAACATCAAGAAATCGAGGAGTCGAAAAGTCGAACAACTGAGAAACCGAAATAGGCCAAAACCGAAAAATAAAAAGTTAAAAATTGAAAAATTGATAAATTGAGAATTTGACAACCAAAATATCGAAAAATGCAAATCTCGATAAATCGAGAAATCAAAAAATTTAAAAATTCGAAAAATTGAAATTCTGAGAAATCGAAACATCAAAAGATTCGAAAAATTGAAAAAACAAAAAATTAAAGGCTGAAAAATTGGAAAAGCGGAAAAATCAAAAAACGAAAAAATGGAAAACTGGAATAACCGAGAAACCGATATAGCCCAAAATAAAAAATCGAAAAGTTATAAATTGAAAACCTCAACAATCAAATCTCGATAAATCGCGAATGAAAAATTTATAAAACGAAACTTTCCAAAAACGAAAAATTTGAAAGCAAACCGGGAGGTCGAAAAAGCGAAAGACTAAGAAATATTGAAAAATCAAAATATTAAAAGATTCAAAAATCTAAAATTTAAAAATGGAAAAATTGAAAAATCCAGAAGTCAAAAATCGAAAAGTCTAAAAATCGAAATATTGAAAAATCCCAAAACTGAAATATCGAAAAATTGGAAAATTAAAGAAATACTAAAAATGGAAAAACTGAAAATCCGAAAACTGAGTAATCCAAAAAGTGAGAATCGAAAAAGTCGAAAAATTGAGAAATCGAAAAATCAAAAAAATGAAGTCGAAAAATCGAAACCATAAAAAATCGAAAAATTGAAAAATCAAACCTGAAAATTGGAAAAATTGAAGAATTAAAAAAAATGACAATTGAAAAACAGGA